ATAAATTTTTTTCTAAGGCATTTGATCCGTAAACAGCAAATTATTACATTCAAGAACTTAAGGTGCATTTTTCTAAAAAAAATTGTTATGTAAGACATCGAAATTTTCACACCGTTGTTTAGATAATTATCACTGTCATCAATTTCGAACGAAAAAAATATGCGTTATCATTTAAAAAAAAATTATGTCATCGCTGCCGTAAGTGGATTATCGAAAAAAAAAATTCCACATAATAAGATGCCCTGGATCAAATAAAAATTGACGGGTCTCACCGTTTTTCGAAAAAAAAATTGTTTAACAAAAATATGAATTTTATGTAGAACTTTTTTTCCACGCTGTATACAATTTTGACATCATTCACAATTTTGTATAAATTTGAAAAAAAAATCACATTCATGCAACAATTTGAGATCTAACTGAGATTGAGATTTATTTTCATTATTCTTGCAATAATTTGTTAATTCTCAATTCAAAGTATTTTTAAAACGGTCAATAATCATCTTTGCACACAACAAAATTATTTATAGCAAAGAATCCAAAAGTTTCCAATAGTTTAAGACCGAAAACTAAAATAAAAAAATTAAAGTAATGGAATGTTCTACACATACCTTTATACAACCCGTTTCACAACACAGACTGAAAAAATGCAACTACAAGTGTGCGCTTTTATAAGATAACAACCACTTGAAATATTTTATAATAAATATCTGTTTGCTTATCAAACGAAATACCATTATTAGTAATATTTTAGCATTTTTCTAGTCCGCCACGCGTAAAAAAAATTTACTGTTCGCTTTTAATAAATATTTATATAATATTTCTGAAAACAACCGACCAACATTTAAGAACAGTCTTATACTAGAAATTATATTTATTTATAATATTCATCTACGAAAAACTACATTGAACCATTTTTTATTTTGACGTGTACCATATCTCAGACGCACTTTCACGAAATCTATCTAAGAAGAAAAAGGTTATAAATGTTCAATAAAACAAAATTAAGAGGGTGGCTAGTCCTTAAACAGAACGATTACCTCGGCAATAGACACTATAGAAAGTTCTGGAATTTAGGGACCTATACTAATAGCTAACCACTAATATACCAATTATTAAAATAATAACAACTACTTAGAGTAATATGAATTTTTATCTTCACCTTCATTAATCAATTTTTGAGTGACATGTTTATGATACGTGACAATAAGCAACAATAACTTACTGAAAATAATTCCACTTCATTGATAATTTACAATAAAGACCATTGTTGTATTCTGATAGATTACACCGGCTTTAAGATAATATATTAGATCAGATTTTTAAATTTTTTTTGGAAGTAAAACTAATTATTCAAGCAATGACTATCTATTGGGTGTCCCAAAATTCCAATTTGAATTTTGCTCCATTTGTGCGATAAAGTGTTGCCAATGAACAAAAAGGCAGCGTGACAGCTGTCAGTTCATTAATAATGGAGTGCTACACGAAAGAGCAACGGGTTTTCGTTGTTGACCTATATTTTAAAAGTAATGAAGGTTTGGCAGCTACAGTTCGCAATTTTCATACAAAATATTGTCGTAATAGTGATTTAATCCCGTCAATTGTGAAGAGATTACCTAATTGAAAAATTCAGGGAGACTGGATCAATTAGTGATCTTAAACACTCTGGCCGTCCATCAACAAGTCGTTCAACACAAAACACGGAAGCAGTTCATGAGAGTTGCTGAGAATCACATCAAGTCAGCACTGTGATCAAGAATTAGACTTTCGAGACTCTCTACAGCGTATTCTCACGAAAGATTTGCATATTCATGCTTAGAAAGTTCAATTGACTCAAGAATTGAAAGCTACTGATCATGCAGAGCGAAGAGAGTTCGTCGAATGGATTATGGAACAACAAATGGATGCTGCCGAAGATGATTTTTCGAACAAATCATCTTCAGGGATGAGGCTAAATTTCATCTTGGTGGCTTCGTTAACCTAGAAAAATGTAGCATTTAGGGTTCAGATAATCCAGGAGTGATTGAGAGACAAATGCGTCCACAATGTGTCACTGTTTTGTGGGGATATCATCGGACCATCCTTCTTCGACAATGCGGCTGGTCCGGCAATAACAGTTAATGGTGGTCGCTACCGCGACATGATAACCCAATTTTTTGTGACTATACAGGGTGTCTCAAAATTAGCTGCCACCCCTGAACAGGCCGATTCTATGATCAAAACTAAGTAAAAAAGTTCATATGAACATGGGTCCGGAAATGCTTCCTAAGGGCACAGGGACCCATTGAAGAGGGAGGAATGGAAATCATTTTTTTGCAATATCTCTCAATCGCGTTGTGATAAATGAATGAAATTCGGTATACACAGCTAAATTTTGATGAGCAATTTGATGGACTAATCCATTTATTTCCACAAGGTCCATTG